CCATTCCTGAAGGCTCCTCTAATCACCCATGAGGTATCCAAGTTTCTCTTGACTGCAGCCTCCTGGGCTTGAAGGGTGGCTTCAATCACTGTCCTGTAGCTGATCTTGAAAGAGTCCTCCTTGCCTTCAAGTCTGTGAGAACTCCTCTTCTCTGCAAGAGCCTTCCTGAAATCAGCCTTGAAGGCTTTGGCAAAATCTGTGTCAGTCAACTGCAATCTTTGTGTTGTTTTTCCTAAAAGAATTGCAGAAGCTTGGTTTCCAATGGATTGGGTTTCTCTAATCTCATCTGTAAAGATGGCTGCAAAGGAGTCTCTGACCCAAACTGAAAGTGGCTCTTGTTCAATTTGTTCTTCAATGACCCACTTCAAGAGAACACTGTCAAGGTTGCAGCTGGGCTGACTCATAATGTCAAGTTTGCCTTCAAAGAGTTCAGGAGCTTCATTCCTCAAAGCAACAGCCCACTTCAAAGCTCTGGAAAGCTCCCCTTTCTCATGAACAATCCTTTGCCCTGCAACCTCAAACTCCTCTCTTTTAAGCCACCTGCCTTTGCTGTCAAGATTTGACAGCCTGGCATGAACCCCAGGAAACACAAGCAAACCTGCTGAAACCTCACCTGTAACTCCATCACTCCCAACAGGCAAGCCTACAATCCTTTGGCGTGCTTCATAAGTGATTCTGAACTTGGAGTTCTCTGCAAGTCCCTTGGCTGTCAAGCTGCCTGCAATCCTCCTTACACCTGCATCTTTGGTTTTGCCTTCTAAGGTCACCTCTTGGCTTGAATCCTTTTCTGGATTGAAGAAATCAACAGCTTCTTTCAAATCTTTCCTGAAAAGCTGAAACTGTTTCCTGTCTTGAGTTGTGATGCCTGAAAGCTCTTCACTAGAAACCACCATTTTTGAACTCTCAGCCTTGGCCCAAAGTGGGACCTGGTCTGAAAAGCCAATGGTTAGAAGTTCCCTGACTCCAGGCTTCAAGACAGACTTGGGATCTGCAAAGACATTGGACTTCAAGACATCTTCCTCAGGAGCAGCACCTGCAAGCCACAGCTGTCTGTCTATGGCTTGCCAAGAGATTTGGCAACGCGTTTTCTCTTCAAAAGCACTCAAAGGGCTTGTCAACTCCTTCTTGACTTCCTTTGAACCACAGTACTCCAAAAGCCTAGTGGTGAAAGACTGTCTGTACTTCTTGCTTCCTAGAAGTTTGTCCCTTCTGGCAAAGTACTGCTTTGCTTCAAGTTCCCAGGTCTTCTTCTGGATCTCACTCTGGGAAAGCTCTGCCTTCTTCAAGGATTCTTGGGCTGAAGACACCAACTGCGCTAGAAATTCATCTAGAAGATCACCCTTTGCAAGTACAACTCCATTGGACCTCTCCTTCAAAACCATGTCCTTGACCTTTGTAATCTCCTTCTCAAATTCCAACTTTCTGCCTGCGCCCTTTGCCCTGACAAATCTTGAGCCTACAACCCTGCCTCTCTTCATCTTCAACTGCCCCTTCTGTTTCTCAAACACCTTTTTCTTGGACATGATGTCCTTCAAGGTCCTGGTGTCTAAGCCATACCTGGTCCTGCCTTTCTTGAAAAGTTCCTTGCTGCTGGAAGATCCTTGTTGCATTGCCTCCAAATCCTCTGCTATCTTGACCTTCTCTACAACAGAAAGCTCCTTTCTCCTTGAAGGCTGCCCTGCTCTCTTCCTGTTGCTCTTCAATCCTGCATTGCTTTTTTCTGCAACCATGGGTCTGCCTCCAAGTTTTCCCCTTTCCTCAGGACTCAAAACAATTCTTTGCTCTTCCTCCAACTCCTCCATTACTTTCAATCTCTTTGTGTACTGGTCCTTCAACTCAGCTAATTCAACCTCTCTCAAAGACCTTTTTCTTTCTTTCCCTAAAACCTTCTTCCCTAAAACAGGTCTTGCTTCTGCCTGCTCCTTTGGGCTACCAAAAAATTTCTCCAACCCATACTGAGACAAAGGTGAGCTGGAAGTGGGTGAAGGCTGGCTCTCTACAAGATCCTCTCTGCTGGAAGTTGGGCTCTTAAAGGCTCCTGTGGGTCTGTTTGGTGTCTTGAACTGGTCTGAAAGCTGTCTTTTTACTAATGGCTGTTCCTGTGAAGTAGCCTTTGCTTCCTTCAAAATCTTCTCAGCCTTCAACTGTGCTTGCCTCAAAATTTCCTCTGCCTTCTTCTTTGCTTCTACAACCTCTGGTGCCTCTTCCTTTTCTTCAAAGGCATCCATTTGCTAAGAAGTTGTGTCTACTGAAATGATTGTGTTTCTTTTTAGTATGATATCAACATGTACCAATGCCTGTGGTTGCCTGACATTATTTTGGGGGGGCCCCTAAATTAATGTCTAGAGATTTGGGGGTTCTTGGATTGCAGTCCTTGTGATGATCTCTTTAATCTTTAAGTCTTCCAAAAGTTCCCAAAAGTAAGTGCGCACTTTCTTTATAAAATCCCTTATTCAAAAGTATTGAAAAACAAAAAAAATCAATCAAGCAAAGGGGGTAGTCCAGCAAGCAGCTTTCTGACATTATTTAGGGGGGGGCCCTAGAATAATGTCTAGAGATTTGAGGCTTCAACAATAATGTCAGGCAGTTCACAATATCTAAGGTCTTTACCTTGCTTGTGATAGTGTGTGTTGCTTTGTAGATATGTGTTTTGTGTTTTTTTATCATAATATATACATATAGATATATGGTTTAATGACCACAATGACA